AAAATTTACCAGAAATTTGTTTCATTCTCTTTCCATTTTTTAAATTTATGTTTTATTTAATTCAATAAGCGATTTAACGCAATGAAGCCCCAAACTGATTTAAATTTTTTCATCAGGGTTACATTAAGAAACAAAGACGGAAAAAAACCTGTTTGCACTATATCACTTTCTTTTTTTATTGAATGAAGCATCTCTCATTGTCAAATTCCTTAATTCATAGGGTGCCAAAGCGCTGCAATAATAAAATACATAGTTATAAGAACCTCACCTGTAGAACCGGATTTTTAAAAGTTTCTAGCCCAGCTGAAACAAAATACAAAAACCATGTTCTTTTGAACATAAAAGGGGTCACTAGAAAGGTGATGCTGCTCCCAATTATCGCTGAAAAATAAAAGTATTGAACGATTTAAAAAAAAAAAAAGTCAAGACTTAATCAGCTCTTGCTTTGGGTGATACTTCAGGTTTTAAATCTCTTTACGTGATACATATTTTTGAAAATAAATTTAAAAATGTTACAACTTTATTCTCATACACCAAAAATATATTTTTTAAAGATTTAAGTACGATATTGTTTTTTTTTTTAAATTAAAAAGCAAAGAGAAAACATAAGGGAATCACAAAGAGGATTAAGAAATTCCCCCTTTGGAAATTAAAAAAAATTATTTTGCATTTGAATAAATAATATAAATTTTTGTTCTTTTAAATAATTATCAATAATGCTCTTTGCGTGACATATTGAGTCTAGTTTATAACTGAATTGCAGCTACAAATTTATTAATTTATATTTTCATTAATTAAAAGAAAATATGCAAAACAATTATTTTACAGAGGATTACAGAACACTAAAACTCCCGTTTTTTGTCCTAATACCATATTTAATTTTAAAAAAATACTTAAAAGTATATGCTATCTTATTTTTTTGTTTTAAAATTCAAATGTTGAAAACGTAATTTATTTTTATTTTTCTCTTCTTATTACAAAACATTGAATTAAAATTAAATTGGATGAAGTTATAGAACTTGTTTATGAAATTTTTCTGGCGCGCCCATGTAAAAGTATATTTTTAAACTAACTTAATAAAATTTAAGCATAAATAAAAAAATACATGATTTTTGAAATATTTGAATGAAAATTGATACTCGCGCCATTAAAAATCCTCTAATTAGTATTGACGCCAGTGATGCTTAATTAATTGTGATAATAGGTACCTAATATACTATTACAGGTGCCTAATATAAATGTTATGCTTTTATTTATAACTGTCGTTTAAAAACCGACCCCGTTTTTGAGTTTTCGAACTCCAGTGGTCAATTTCATAGCCTTATAATTTTGAACCCAATCCAGAAGACAAGGGAATTACTGGACGAAGGAATTACTGGAAAAAATTTTCTTTCGTGGAGGACTTCTTGATGGTACTAATCCGCATTTGTGTTACATGGAAAGAAAAACCTCGAAGAACTCCCTCGGTTAGCCTGACTGCAAGGGCAATCTAACCCATGAATCGTCAACCAATGAGGATATTTTACGCTAGCACTCTGGTCGGTGCTAGTCGGGTGCAAAATTCGCATCGACCAGCTATCACTGGGATTCGAACCTGGTCATCTCATTGGGAAGCGAACGCTCTTTCCCCCTGAGCCATCACGACTCATATGCTATAGTTAGATGTTTTTCATACCCCCAAAATATAAGTATAGTTTGTTTATAGAAATAATTCCCTCGCCACAAAGTCAAACAAGAAATAACGCATTTCGAAGAAAGGAGCTTCTCTCTCCTCTTAATCACTCTCGCCACCCCTACTTGAAATAGTCAAGCCTCGTAACCATAATCACAGTCATTGATCCAGACGAATGACGAGGGGAGTTCTTTCCATAGACAAACTTCCCGGGTTGCACCCCTCTGAGTAAATTTCTACGGACGCCCTTGGAAGAAAAAAGAAATACCTTTAACTATATTATAATGACAGTGGAATCTGTTTGCTATTAAGTTCAAAGAAAATACTTAAAATATGTATTTTTTTATTGATACTATCTAGTTTGACTTTATCATACTTCATTGATTTGAAATAATGAAATAGTTGCATCGTTATCCAAAAAATCTTTATAAATAAATCCTTGCTGTTTGGCCAAACTGATCAAGTCAGTTTGTTATGACTGAGATAAATCTGAAATCTAGCTGATATTCATGACTACTTTTCTTGGCAATGTGTGACGTATTAAATTAAAAAGGAATTTAATTGTCTGTTTCATTGAAAAGGGTGAAGTGAAATTGATATAAAGATCCAAGACAAACGATAATTTTGTGAAGGTCGGAATTGAAAGACATTTCTGACACATTTAACTAAAGTTCGCTGCTCAAGATTTGTTTGATGCTCACATTGTTGTCGAGCTAACCGCAAGAGTTTTCTTTTTATGTTTTCCTTTTCGTCTAAATCAAATGTAAATTAGTTCCTTCATCGTCTAAGTTGGCCTCAAGACTACATGGGTGCAGAGGATTAGAAAATATTTTCTTGAAACCTTGGTATATAAGAACTGCGCATAAAAAGTGTCAACTAAAATAAATAGTAAGAAAAATGTCTAGCGACATGTATTCAAAATGAATAGTTTCAGAAAGGAAAATATTACTTTCTCAACAGAAACTAAAGATTATCAAGAAATCAGTCAAATGTTTGTTGTCTTTTAAATATTATTTTTAAATATTTTAAGTAGAGCTGGTATGATGGTAATCTATTTTTATAGAACAAGAAATTTTTTTTTTGTTTTCTTTGAATTGCATTCATTTCAATACCAGGATAAGTGGTATAAAATGCTAAAAATACGCTGGTTTCTCAGAATTATTTTCTCGTATCTTTGAATTTAGGGCAAACCACAAAGTAAAAAGAAACGATTGTGGTTATAGCTGGTGCACGTTTTTATTTATATTTTTTATTACGTAATTTTATGAACTCGGGTATTTTCAAAGCTTAAAATCCTGGATATGTTTTTTTTTCTAAATTTCTTTTTCTCCAAGTTGAGGTGAAACTTTAAAATAGGTTCTTTAAATCTTCTTTTCATATTGAGTACCATTTTTGATAAAAACGTAAGAGCCGCTGTAACATTTTTTCATAATTTTAAATTTAAAAACCCACTTTACAATAAATTTTTTTTTTTTAAATTCTCTTATTTGACATTTTTTCACCTAGAAGAAAGTTATCAAAATCACTGCCTTATTCTAAATTAGATAATGCAGCATTGAAATTTTTAAATATTGAGAAATTAAAACACAAACGCTTTTCTCCTTATATTGACATTTTGCGTCATTTTAAGAATAAGCATACAGACAGCGCTAGCTTTAGATAGGCTAAACTTGTCATAACAGTTATTAGTAACTGATGCAAACTCACAGCAGTTATGAAAATAGCTTATTATTCGCAAAAAAGCATCATTTCATGTGACCATGAAACCTTCTAAAAGATGCCCTTTGCTTTGCTCAACGTTTTTCTTCAAAACATATTAAAGTCGGTCTAAAACATCATCTTAAATATTTAACTCCATCTCTCTCTAAAAAATGTTGTCTAAAGCTAAAACTATGGAATCTTGCCGAGCTTTCATTTTGGCTATGATTTTTTAGCATGATCAGTTTTCCCCAGACGCGTAACCTAGAATAAATAACACCATTTTAGAAAATTAATATAAAGTTGTTTCAAAATCAAAAATGGTCCTATAAATAAATTACCATTTAAAAGCACAATAAAAGAAAAAATGGAAAAAAAAAAACTTGTAGAAATTTTTTAAATGAACTATAACTTACCTACACTGTAAAAAAAAGAAGAAAAAATTGGCGTATAGTTTCCCCATTTTGTGTTTGAGGTAAGTTAAATAAATTTTTAAGTATAGAGCAATTAGTTATTGTGAAAACAATGATATAAAATTGTCAAAATAACAGTTGTTTGCAAGAATAAATGCGAATATTTTACTAAAAATGTGCTTGTTTATTTTTAATGAAATGCTTTTGCAATGAACCCATTAAATTGATTCTGATGCATATAAAAATATATGTTGTCAGTAAACAAAGAAACAATTATGAATAAATAAATATACAAAACTATAAGAGGGAAAAAGTAAAATAAGTGTGATTATATGGAGTGTAAAAATTTTTAGTTTACCTCAACGCCAAAAATGGTGGCAATTATACACCAAAATTATTTACAGTGTATATTGCTTGTTTTAAACCAGATTATTTATAGTAAATACACTGGGAAACATATATGTTTGCAGGTAAAGATATAAAAAATATGTTTAATTTCTTTTCTGATTTATTTTGTTTCTTTTTAATACACAAGTGTCATGCAAATTTTGAGTTATAAGAAGTGAGGCGCGAACTATTTATTTCTTGCAAATAGTTATCGAACTACTGTAAAAATAAACATACTTGAACATAAAACACACTATAAATATATTAAAATTTTTATAAATTCAACTATATCTGACAAGACGAAATTTTTTGTCTATTTTTTGTCGAATTGAGGTTTTAAAACGTTCTTTCAAGCAAGGGGTCGCGTAAATGTTGCCACATTTCTAGAGGAGTTAAGGCACATCATCAAGATTAAAATAGCATTGAAACCAATGCACGAAAATGTCACTATACGTCGCAACTCTGTTATGAACTGTTTCTGCTCGTGATTTTCAACAGGTTATTATACGGAAGCGCCCCTAGCCACGTACAACGACACTTCCAGACATGGGTTCCTATGCAATTAATCTAGAAATTTGTCGTTATATTTACGCGGCCCCTTGTTTGAAAGAACATTTTTAAACATGTACAATTCGAAAAAAATATAGACTAATAATGCTATTTTAAAATATTTTTTTTAAAGTTTTGGACGCAAAACTATTTTCAGATTTGAAATTCCCCACCCGAATCGATCAAGATCAAGTATTTGTAAAGGTGCAACAAAAAATGTGTTCTCCAGTGTTATCATTAGTTTATGTTTGTTCAATTTCAAATGTTGTAATAATTTTCAGACAGTACAGATATCGTCGATTGTAAATTGAAGTTGATTCTCGGTTTGATATGGACCCTCATCTTGCACTATTCTATTTCCCTGCCAATGTGGGAAGGGGAAGAAGGAGATTCGGTGTTCGACAAGAAAGGTGGGCCATCTCCAAAACAGAGGCTATTGGGATGGATCCAGAGTAAATTGCCTGATCTGCCTATCAACAATTTCAACTCTGACTGGAATGATGGACGAGCTGTTGCAGCTTTGGTCGATGCTTTGGCTCCAGGTACGCTTTTTCTTTTTATCTTTTGAAAGTGAATCTGTTAAAATTAATAATAGTTTTTGAAGTTAATATATGAACTCATTGCACCTGTAAAATATATGACTCAATTCAACACTTCCTGGTTTGAAATTATGTTGAAAAGATAAACAATACAGAGCTCTTGAAAAAATAATATAATATACTAAATAGATAAGCATCTATCTGCTGATGGAGATGGATCATGTATTACCGTAATCGAATTTATACATAATAAAAATATTAAGTTGTACACAGCGTTGTTTTAAGGAGCTGAGTAAAGATGAGTTTTCGAATTTGCCAGAGTAATTACGTACTGCAATCCTTTCTGCATCAAATGATTCAAAATCGAGCCATGATTTGTTAGGTCAACGAAAGTTCCTGTTGTATCCAAATGAAAAAAGGGTAAATTTTTGATGCGTTAAAAAAAAAATAAAGCTATGCCGTGTGAAAAACACAATAAAATTATTGTATTCATGTAATAGTTACGGAGTGAAAATAAATAAATAATCAATAACCAAATCCCCCCATTAAACAACATCACGAAGTCATGCACAAAACCGAAAGGAATACACAGACGCAATAAAAAATTGTTTAAATAATTCTAATTATTTACTTGTTGCGCTTTCCGGTGGCTTTACGTTATTAAAATAATCAAAACAGAAGTTAATCACATAAAAATAAAAGTTAATTTAATTTAGAATAATTTAGCATGATGCTGTTGCTATTTGCCTACTCATGGTGTCAAAGTTTATCCCAATCAAGTCATTGATCCTGTATTTATCCATTTCATAAAAAACCTATTATCGTAAATACTTATATTTGATACATATCTGTGAAATTTACTAACCCTGTGAATATTTTTATAATCATGGAAATTAAAATAATTTACAGTATTTTACATACATTTATTGAGAATTTTTGCTCAGTTTGTGTTTCATTTCTATTTTAGGCTCGCTCTTTTAAATTTTCGAAAAGAAATAATTTTTTCGTAATGTAAAAATTGTATGATTAATTATGAAAATACCAAAGTTACTATGATACTCTTAAGTTTCACAGACGAACATATTCTTGTTTTTCGAATGAAACACAGTAAAATTACATTAAAATTTTTCAAAACTACTTGTTTTCAAAGCTACTTGTTTTCAAAGCTCTTTATCCTCCAAACTTTTCCTTCTTTCTATTTTATGTATGTTGCATTAAAAAATTTGTGTAATTTAAAAAAGGCTTTTAAAGAGGGTCGAAATATGATATAATCAGTTCCGACTGTTCCCTCCACTACATGTCCAAATGTTAAAGCGGTTGTTGCTCAGGAAATATTCGGGGCTCCACTCTTAATAATATTTCGCAAAAAAAGTAGTTTAAACTGGCAGTATAAGAGTGTGCGCGGATACACTAACGTCAACAAGTAGTATAAGTTGCTTTTGCTTCAATAAACAATTTCTGAAAAGAAATACTTGCCGGTGGCATCGGTTAGTTTATAAGATCGTCTGCGAAATTTAAGTGCTTTTTTTTCAAGTTTCAATATTGGGCTCAGTGAAATAATGATATACATATTTCAATTTGATACTGTCCTGAAAGTTAAAACAAAAATTACGTTAATTTAAAAATTTTTTTTCTGATACAATCACTTCCAAAACTTTTCTCTTCTACTTTTATGACAGATGAAAAGCGTGAAAAATGTTTGTATTATTATCACAGAGGTTGTTAATAGTAGTTATTTGGTCTAAAAGAGTACTAAAAGTCTCGCATTTTATTTGGCAATATTATAAGGCTCTAAAGTTTGTCTTGTACTGGCAATTATGTTATTAATCTTTTTAAATGTATGAACTTATATAAGCGTTAAATAACTCCCCTTTGCTGTAATGTCTCAGTTTATTCGAGTAACCACTCTTTTTCTTGAATGATATCGACAAGGAATTACTTTTTTTTTTGTCTTTATCATTTCCTCAAGAAAAAAATGCTCTAAACTTCGTAACTAATATAAGTTTGTTATAAATTAACATTTTGGTGTTACCAATAAACCTTCAATAAAATTTTATTTCATATATGCCCTGTAACACTATCTTGTTTTTAATAAAAATTGCTTACTTCTTATTAAACATTGAAGTTTAATGCGTGTCATTTTTTTGTTTGAATTTTTAGGCTTATGTCCTGACTGGTGTGACATGAAACCTGAAAATGCTCTTAAAAATGCGAAGGAAGCTATGGATTTGGCAGATAATTGGTTGGGAATTCCTCAAGTAAGAACGTTTTTCTTCTTTTTATAGAAATTAAAGTTTCATATTGTTTTATTTGTTAGTGAAAGTTTTATTTATTTATTTATTGAAATTAGTAGTATTAGGATCAATAATAAATTGATGAGTGCGGCATGTAGCAGTATATGTTTCCAAAAATATTTCAATTTTAGGACGCAACTCCGATATGTTGAACTAATTTTTGGTTTCTAGAGTTTATCTCAAGATATGAATATAATAATATTCTTACATTCATTGATATCATTACAAATTAGGGTCTCCTAATGTCCTCATAATTTATATATTATATATATAT